ACAATCAGGGGTGAACATCACGGACATGTATTCCCCCTGGGACAGGAGGCATAAGGACACTTTAAAGGGGTGGCATTCCTGGGCCCGATGCACAACCAAAATCTAATCAGGAGGAAACATCAGGCAAGCCCAGATTTGAGGGACATTCTCCAAACAATGGGACTGCAACTGTAAAATTTCAATTCAGGTGACGAGACAAAGGCTTTGAGTAATTGTTCTAGAGTAAGGAGGACCAAATTTGAGTTGCGAAGCAGTAATACTGAAGGCATAAGGACTGAATGGCATCAGGGTCTGGCAGAAAGTTGCCGGGTGAAAGAGACAGCCAGGGCCGGGGTTGGTGGCTCAACGGGGCCATTTTTTTTTGTAATCCTAGCATCCTGGGAGGCGGAGGCGGGCGGATTTGCTCAAGGTCAAGGAGTCGAACACAGCCTAGAGCGAGACCCCGCTCTACCAAATAGAATAAATAAGTTGACCAACTAAAAAGGAAATATACCTTACAAAAAATTAGCCGGGGCGATGGTAAGGTGCATGGCCTGTATGCCAGCTAATTCGGGGGAGGCTGAGGCGTAGGATCACTGGAGGGCCCCGGAGATTGAGGTTGCTGAGCTAGGGTGACGCACGGCACTCACTTAATTGCCTGTGGCAACAAAGTTAGGAATCTGTCTCAAACAAAACAAAAAAAAGAAAGGAAAGAAACTAACTGACCAACTAAAATATATATTATAACAAAAAATTAGCCAGCATCTGCGCGATGCCTGTAGTCCAGTACTCGGGAGGCTGAGGCAGTAGATCATACCAGGAGTTGCAGGTTGCTGTGAGCAGGCTGTCCACGCTCACTCCAAGCCTGGCACAAAAGTGGAGACTCTGTCTCAAAAAAAAAAAAGAAAGAGACAGCCAATTGATTGGAGGATAGATGTTCTGCACTTTTTGTCAATACAGCTGACCCTGGAACAGCGTGGAGTTCGGGCCTGCTGTTGACGGAAGCGCTTATGATATCTATTTTTTTATTTTTATTTTGTATTTTTTGAAACAGAGTCTCACTTTGTTGCCGGCTAAGAGTGATGCCGTGGGTCAGCCTTTCTCACAGCAACCTAATCCTGGGCTCAGCGATCCTTCTGCCTCAGCTCCCGAAGTTAGCTGGACTACAGCATGCGCCCAGCCTGCTATTTTTTCTATATATATTAGTTGGCCAATTAATTTCTTTCTATTTATAGTAGAGACGGGGTCTCACTCTTGCTCAGGCTGGTTTCGAACTCCTGACTTCGAGCAATCCGCCCGCCTCGGCCTCCCAGAGTGCTAGGATTACAGGCATGAGCCACCTCGCCCGGCCTTTACTGATATTCTAAAGAGTCAACATGTATTTTGTGTATTACATTTATTATATACTGTATTCTTAAGATGGAGAAAAAAATGTTATTAAGAAAATCAGGCCAGGTGTGGTGGCTCACGCCTGTAATCCTAGCACTCTGGGAGGCCAAGGTGGGAGGATCGCTCCAGGTCAGGAGTTCGAGACCAGCCTGAGCAAGAGTGAGACCCCCGTCTCTACTTAAAAAAAATAGAAATTAGCTGGACAACTAAAAGTATATAGAAAAAATTAGCCAAGCATGGTGGTGCATACCTGTAGTCCCAGTTCCTCAGGTGGCTGAGGCAGTAGGATCGCTTGAGCCCAGGAGTTTGAGGTTTCTGTGAGCTAGGCTGACACCACGGCACTCACTCTAGCCTGAGCAACAAAGTGAGACTCTGTCTCAAAAAAACAAAAAATAAAATCATAAGAGAAAATATATTTACTATTTATTAAGTGGAACTGGATCATCGCAAAGACCTTCATCCTTGTCATCTTCACACTGAGCTGGCTGAGGAGGAGGAAGAGGAGGGGCTGGTTTGCTGTCTCAGGCGTGGCAGACGCAGGAGAAAATCCGTGTATAAATGGACCCGCACAGTTCAAATCTGTGTTGTTCAAGAGTCAACTGTGTTTGATAATTGTACCGTAAATATAGAAGAATATTATTGTTCTTACAAGATACACACTGCAGGATTTGGGAGTAGGGAGGTGTGTTGTCTACACCAACTCCCAAATGGTTTTAGCACAGGAGTGGGCAAACTTTTTTTGGTACAAGGCCAATTAGTGAAGATTTTGGGCTTTATGGGCCATATGGTCCCTGTCACAACTCCTCACTATTCTGCTGTCAGAGTGCCAAAGCAGCCACAGACGATATGTAAATGCGTGGGCATGGCTGTGTTCCAGTAAAACTTTATGTATGGCTACTGCAATGCCAACCTCATGGAATTTTCACATGTCATGGAATATTCTTTGAATTTGTTTTCAACCCTGCAAAGCCCATTTCTGTCTTACTGCCCGTACAGAATTAGGTGTCTTACAGGCTGTAGTTCAGTGGTGTCTGATATAGAAAAAGAACACACGCACTGTGTGAATTATTATTTTTATTATTTTCCAAGCCACATCCTTGATAGTTGTATTGTGTTAGCCATCCAAGTGTGACCTCTGCGGTCACGTCCCCTGAGCAGGAGCGAGCTGTGAAACATGACCCGCCCTGGCCCCTCTGTGCACAGGAGACGCACAGGATCTACAGGCAGAAGCTGGAGGAGCTGAGCGCGCTGCAGACGCTGTGCAGCGGTTCCATCGGCAAGCAGAAGAAGCGCCTCAAGGACCTCAAGCACACACTCCAGAGGTAGGCGCGGCCGCAGCCCAGGGCTCCCTGGTTCGCAGGGACACGAGCCCAACTCAAGACCAGTGTAAGCAGAGAATGGAAATTTTAGTGGAAAACAACCAGGACCAGGAGTGGCTTCAGGCATCCCTGGACCCAGGGGTCAAAGGGTAGTTGTAGGGTTCTGGTTTTTTCCTCTAAATTCTGCCTTCCTCTAGGGTGGCTTCACTCTCAGGCCGGCTGTCCTGTCCTGATCACCAGCAGTGCCCGCTTATGTCCTCCAGCCCTGCCTCCCGATGGCTTTGCCACCCCAGCAGAAGGAGTTTCTGTTTCCTAATACTTCAGCACATGTTCTGGGCGTGATCCCCACTGACTGGGGTTGGCCCTGTGCCCTGTCTGAGCCATCACTGAGAATGTGCATGGGCAAGACTATGTCGTGTGCTGAGTGTGGACCTCGGGGAGGTGGGGACAGCCCCTGCCTGAGCCACACGGGTGGGGAGTCGAGGATGATAGCTGGGTGCTGTTGTAAGCAGCAGCCCTGCTGGAGGGGTAAACCACCGATGTCCTCCTCGTGGATGTGGGATGCCGTCCCCACCGGGGCTCTGGCGTAGGGGCTGCTAGGTTGGCGTCCCTGGTGGGGATGTGCCTGGGCTCGTGACTTAGCTCCGTTCCTGAGCCCGGCTCGAGTTCACGTCCCGATACTCGTGTCTTCATGGTTGGGGAAGTACTCTCGTCCCTTGTACGTCAAGGGGGCCAATGGACACTGTGACCCCTTAGTCAAGCAGGGAAACTGAGGCTCCAGGTGACCTGTTCTGGATCACTTAGCTGGGCCTCCATTCCGAGGTGTGTCCGCTGCCTTGTTTTTCTAGTTTTGAGAGTGAAATGTTACCGAAGAATAACAGACCTTAATTGGTTGCCTTACTTATGCTTTCAAAGGTCTGCTCTGCATGTCCTCCTAGCTATCCTTAGGGTAGCCTTCAGAATAGTGAGAAGAAGATGATTATGTCAGTCAATATCCATTGAGCTTATACTATGTGCCACGTGTTATTCTAGGTGCTTACACCGTATGTGCTCATTTAATGCTTGTTAGGGTAATGTCTATGAGGCAGGGCTGATGTTTTCCCCATTTCTCAGGTATGGAAAGTAAGGCAGGGAGGTTCAAGGACTTTCCCAAAGTCACAAGGCTACCCGGGAGCCAGCATCGCGCCCAGAGAGTACAGATGGAGAACTGAAGTTGCGAGAGGTGTTGGGGTGGAAATGTGGAGGGTGGTGCGCAGGACGTCAAGAGTCTTCCTCCATCTGAGTAATGCCCCTGCCTCTGCGCCTGCACCTCTGACCGCAGGTACAAGCGCCATGCCAGTCGGGAGGAGGCGGAGCTCGTTCAGCAGATGGCCACGAACATCAAGGAGCGGCAGAACGTCTTCTTCGACATGGAGGCCTACCTGCCCAAGAAGAACGGGTAGGAACAGGAGACTCCCCTGCCCCTGCCCCGGGCAGGTGCCCAGGCCCAGACACCTGGTCCATGCAACACCCACCTGCCTGTTGGGGATTTGGGTCAAGGGGAAGGGGAAGCAAGGGCGGGAAGGAGCCAGGACCCTTCCCACATGTTCTCCATGAGCCCGGGAGGGGACCTCTGCCCTGCTGCATGGTAGTGACATTCCTGGGAGGGCTTTGGTGAGGAGCCAGCACCTGCCATGTGCCTGGTGCACTTGAGGGCAAGAGGGACGATGTTCTCTCCCAAGAGAGCAAACACATAGTGAGTGCCTGCTGCATGCCCTGCATTGTGCTGGGAGCTCCCTTGATGCCACTTGTTTTATCTTCAACAACCTGGTATGTCAGTTTAAGGTATCCCCGTTTTGACAAGGTTCAGAGACATTGGGGAATATCTGGCCCACGTGGCTCAGCCAGGTTTGGCCTAGCCAGGATGTGGACACTAGACATTTTGACTCCAAAGCCTGAATTCTTTCCATCTTGCCCCTGCAAAGAAGTCCCCATCTGTCCCCTCCAGTGACACGATTGTTGATTTGTTCCAGAGAGACCCCTTAACAGTGTTGTTTGGTTCCTGGCCTGGTCTGCTAAGCATACCCTGACCCTATTTCCTGTTTCGGCCTAGCACTGAGGCAGAGCCTCCCACAGGAGGAGGGGCTTCCTTTTAGGCTTGTGGCGGGTGGCAGGTGGCCTGCCAGCCCTGTTACATCTTAACCCTTTCCTCTGAGCTTCTCCTTTTTTGTTGTTTGATTAAAACTCCGTAAGTTAGGTGATCATTTCCTACAGCAGCCCAGTGTTCATGACCCTTCCCACCTTCCCAGCTCCCCTCTCCCCAGTCCTCTGTGTATCTTATGTCAGTCAGGAATCTTTGGTTTCCAGATGACAAACCCAACTCAGAGTTGCTTAAGAAAAACTAAGGGATTTATTGGCTCATGTAACTTAAAAGTCCAGGAATAGCTTCAAGTAGGGCTGGATCCTGCTACTCAAAAGATTCTGGTAGGACCTGCCTCTCTTTAGTTTTTTTCTTTTTTTTCAAATTAATATAATTTTATATTCTTATTTTTTTTTTCCTCAGTGAAGAATCAATGTTAGTGGGAATAGTTTTTTGTTTTTACTCACTTCTCCAGTGTATGAGTTTCATTCTTTTTTTTTTCTTTTTGAGACAGAGTCTCACTTTGTTGCCTAGGCTAGAGTGAGTGCCGTGGCATCAGCCTAGCTCACAGCAACCTCAAACTCCTGGGGTCAAGTGATCCTTCTGCCTCAGCCTCCCGAGTAGCTGGGACTACAGGCATGCGCCACCATGCCCGGCTAATTTTTTCTGTATATATATATTAGTTAGCCAATTAATTTCTTTCTATTTATAGTAAAGATGGTGTCTTGCTCTTGCTCAGGCTGGTTTCAAACTCCTGACCTTGAGCAATCTGCCCGCCTCGGCCTCCCAGAGTGCTAGGATTACAGGCATGAGCCACTGCGCCCGGCCGAGTTTCATTCTTAAGTAGGTTTTTTTTCTATAAACTGGCGCCCAGCAACTGTGCGCTTGCATGCTTCCTGCTAATCAACTAGTAGAGAAAGTCTGTTCTTTAGTCATTCTGGGAAAAGTCCCAGGGCTGATTTTCATTGGCTTAGATGGTGTCACATGACCTTTTGTAACCCAATCAGGAGGATGCACTGCCTTGTTTGGTCAAGCTTGGGTCACGTGCCTTCCCCGAGGGCCTAGGGGGAAATGCAATTCTCTGAAAGGAAATTGCAGTTGCCCTTTCAGGAAATAGGGACTGTGTGCTAGGCAGGAAAATAGATGTCCTCTTACACCTCTGTTCCAGTTACACCAGACCAGAAATGTCCCTGCAGTCCACTCATAGCTAGAAAGAAGGTTTTGTGTTTTCTTTTTTCCTCCCAAATTTCTATTTATCCTTCAAAACCCAATTCAAATGTTATCACCTCAGTGAAGCCTTGCCAAACCCCTCTCCCTCTGTCGAATTTACTCTTCTTCCCCAAGGTCCCATACGCTGTATTTCCACCTTTGTTAGTGTGTTAGAATACAGGCTGTTGTAACAGAGACCCGGCGACACAATGGCTGAATGAGACAAAGGTTTCTCTCTCACACACAACGGTCCAGAGGCGAGGGGGCCAAGGGTGGGGGACTCATGGTCATCTAGTTGCTCGGGGTTTTTTCAGCTTACCCATCGACAACCCCTTAGGGAGTTGTCCTCATCTGCACGTCCAAAGCTGGCTGAACCATCACATTTTCAGGAAGGGCGAAGCCGTCAGGCCGTAGAGGGTAAACAGATAGCCCTTTTACAATAAGCATTTGCCATTTCCTACCGAAGCTGCACACGTACATACACCGTGACCCAGAAATTCCACTCCTGGGTATATCCCCAAAGGAAATGAGTGCTTATGCCCTGCCTGTAAAAGCTGTGTACAAGAATGTTCACAGCCAAGAAGCCAGACACAAAAGGCCACATATTGTATGATTCTGTTTATATGAAATGTCCAGAGTAGGCAAATCCATAGAGACCAAATGTAGATGGGGGGTTGCCAGAAGCTGGCGGAGGGGAGAATGGGGAGGGACTGTTCGTGGGTATGGAGTTTCTTTTGGGGATGGTAAAAATGTTCTGGAATTAGGTAAGGGTGGTGGCTGCACAATATTGTAAATATATTAGAAACTATTAACTCGTATACTTTAAAAGGGTTAATTTTATGGCACGTGAATTATGTCTCTATTGAAGAAAAAGAATGTTCACAGCAGTTTTATTCGTAATAGTCAAAAACTAAAAACACATGGATGAACCCAGAGGACATTGTGCTAAGCGAAACAAGCCAGATGCCGAAAGAAAAATACTGCATGATCTCACTTATAGGTGGAATCTTTAAAAAAAAATCAAATACATAGAAACAGAGAGTAGAATGGTGGTTACCAAGGGCAGGGGTGTGGGGCAATGGGGGAATGTAGGTTGAAGGGTACAGGTGGTAGTTATGTAGGTTGAATAAGTCTAGACATCTAATGTAAATCAGGGGGACTAGAGTTAATAATGTTGTATTATGTATGGGAAGTTTGCTACAAGAGTAGATTTTTGGTACTCTATTGACACACAAACAACTAAAAACTGAAAACAAAATGTTCATCAGCAGTAGAAGGAATAACAAGTTGTAATATTATCGACTCAGTATAATACCATATACCATGAAAATCAAGGACATGCAGATTCGAAAATAACATGAGTGAATCTCATGGCCATAAGATTGAGGGAAGAAGCCAGCCATGAAAAATTACACACTGTGTTCATTTACGTGCAGTTCAAAAATAAGAAAAATGAATCCATGATGATAAGAAACCAGTCACTGCCTTTGGTGGGCAGCAGCTGTCGTGGGGTGGGCTGGGCATGAGGGGGCCTCCTGGGGCTGGAAGTGTTTTATCCTTTGGTCTGGGTGTTGGTTACATGTATAAATGTGTAAGAAGTCATCATGTTGTACACTTAAGATGTGTACATTTTAGTTTATTTATTTTTTCTTTCATATACACACTTTGAAGAAACAAATCATTCCTCATCATCAGATGGCTCACCACTGTAAGCTGAATCTGATCATAACCAATCCATCCCTTGCTTAAATCTGCCAAATATTATCAAAAACTCTAGCTTAGTACCTCATGCTTACGACTCTAAAGAGCAATCGATGCTTGATGGCCTATGATGCACCATTGCTTCACACTCTCTAGCATTGGCTGGTGTTTGAGCGAGGGCACGTTCCACGGTTTGCGAGTACCGGAGATCAATTAACATCCTGAAGAAAGACCTGTGATCCGTGCCTTTACAGTCGCCCATTCAAAAACATTCACTCACCCACCGCCGCCACCTCTCGCACGCTGATCCCCATTAATACGACATCTGCGAAGCTCAAGCCGGCCTACACGCGCACAACAAAGCCCCCCCGCCGCCACCCCGCACAAGAACAAAAGATTAACAGGAGAACGTACAACCTTGACACTACAGTATGACAAGCCTTCCCCATAGACCGGCTACAACATTCGCAGCTCCTTGCAGCCATATTTCATGCTGACTACTGCCATGAGTGAAGCATGATACTCATCTCTATTCAATTTAAAAAGAATGCTCTTTCAATAAGGGCATAACAGCGCTGCACAGTTTTCACGCTGTAATCTACGCCTCTGGAGCGAAGCAGGAGGATCTCTTATGTGCAGGATTTTGAGACCCCAGCTAGCACTATAAACATCAATCCTAGTAAAACAGTATAAATATTAAGACGGGCGCGAGCTCACCGCCGTAAGCCTAGCACTCGGAGCCTAGTGGCTATTGCTTAGCAAGATTCAAAACAGCTGACAAACAAGACCCCGTCTCCTACTATAAAAATAGAAGAAATTATTGTCCAAGCTAATATATATCTATAACAAATTACTCTATTTCACACTGGCTCGTATCCAGCACCTCATGAGCTGATGCAACAGGATTGCTTAGCCAGAAGTTAGGTTGCGCTGACTAGCTGATCAGGCACTCACTCTAGCTGTCAACAAGTATACTCTCTCAAACAAAAAAAGAAAAGAAATAAAGATTACCATTCGCAGGTGAGTGCTTAATCTCAGCTACTCAGGATCTGAGCAAGAGGCATCACTTAGCCCAGGAGTTTGAGGATTGACTAGCTTACACACGGCCTCTCTCACTCGTTACGACTGCAACAAGCGGAGCACTCTACAGCCCCAGTAATCAAAGACTGTGCTCAAAAAAAACAGAAAC